TAAAGTATTGAAATTAATAGTTTATAAAAAGTAAAAAAAAATAACAGCATTTATTCAAAATAGAAACCTTTTGTAACAATATACACTACCATTCAAGTTTGGGGTCAGTACAACTTTTTTATTTTATTTTCTTTCTTTTTTTTTTAATAAGTTTCCAACATTGATAATAAATCAGCATATTAGAAATATTTCTGAAGGATCATGTAACACTGAAGACCGGAGAAATGTCTGGAGTAATGGCTGATGAAAATTCAGCTTTGCATAACAGGAATAAATTATATTTGAAAGTATATTAAAATAGAAAACAGTTATTTTAAATTGTAATAACATCTTACAATATTACAGTTTTTTTTCTGTATTTTTGATCAAATATATGTAGCCTTGGGTGAGCATAAGAGACTTCTTAAAAAATAAAAAATAAATCTTACTGATCCTAAACTTTTGAATGGCAGTATATAATACATTCAACAAATTAAAAAAGAGAAAATTAAAGGTCATAAGATTGAGGTTATGAAAAAAAACCTGTTTATTTATATTTATCTTAGAATTTGAAAGCGAAATATTGTAAAACCTCAAAATCTTCAATTATGTCTGTATATTAAAAAAGTTGATAGCTGATAAATTTAGGATTAGCTAATGTTTCATCAACAAGAAAAAAAAAATACAGGCCAAAATTTCCCCACTGAGCGATTGAGCTGAAAAATGTCACCGTGGTCGTGACGGCGACTGTGGTTATTTTCAGCGTAACAGGTCAAGCGCTGAACTGGGCTCTTTATTCACCCGGAGGCGCCTTGTGTTTCTCGATGGGTTCAGTGGTTTGGAGAAGAAAACACCCAGCGAGTGTTTGGCATTTACAAACTGCATTCGGTGCTATTGGTCTAGGCACATACGGCAGGACAGGTGGGGTGGGAGTAGAGGCTGACCTTTCAGATGCATGGAGGGTGTAGTTATTGCACATTATATAGTCTGTAGGTTGCTATTTGTCAACTTTTCAAAAGCTTGTGTGCAACGCAAAAGCACAATGTCCTTGTTTCCACTGCTAGTGTGAAGAAACGCGTCCTCATGGTGTCCACAAAACTCACGAATGGCTGCTGGGAACACCGGTAAAGACTCCAGCTGCCTGGGCGCCATCTTAACTTGCAGTCTGTCCATTCATGTGTATTTGGAGTCAGTGTCGATTAGAAATAATTGCTAAGGACATATGACAGACTAATCAATGTGTATCACAGTATGTAGAGTCTCTCATTTCCTGCACGGAGAGATAAACTAATGAATTAACCGGGTTGTGAAAGTGGTTTTTAAAAATGTATGGTACACTGGGGGGTTGTTACTGCAGTTATAGATTTTTTTTAATCTATAAATCACGGCTGTTGAAAAGATTTTATTTTTTTCTCTCCAAGTTTTTCATGAGGTTTAAGTCTTGAATATATACACACTTTATTATTATTTGCTTTATTATTTTTATAAATATTTTTTATATTATAATTTATATTTAAATTATTATATTTAATATTATTGTTACCTTTTACAATATTATATTTTAATATTAAATATTTGACTTTAGTCATTTTTTTTCTTACAAAATGAAAGTTTTTATTCAGTTTTGGATCCTACTTTATTTTATTATGTTATGCAATTTGTGAGTTTTTATTTTAGTCCAAAGCTAAAGAAATAAAATAAAAATAAAAATATATATAAAATAAAAATGAATAAATATAAATATCTACTTCTGTTAGGAAGAAAGGGATAGAAAGGTAAAAACCATGGGCATATAAAACCCGTGACCACCGGCCCTGCGGCTCTGACGGGTTATTAAACTCCCAGACTGGCATCTGGACTGTGTGTCTGGTGAATCCCTCATCGATATGGCTGATTTAAAAGTGTATTCCAAGCCTGTCCCCGACTGGACACAAAACTGGATGAAGGACACACTGTTCCTTTAGCTTGAGTGATCTGTTCTAGATTAAAAATGGTAATTCTGTAGATAAATCATCGACTAGTGGCTCTGAAGCTTGAAAAAGAACAAGAAAGTGCCATAAAAATAGTCCAACATGAGTTGCACATTATGTTCCAAAGCTTCTGAAGCTATACAATATTTAATACTAAAATTTAGGTTATCATTCATTTAAATTTTTGTCTTTCTCCTACTACTGAGCTTTTCTGAACTATGTTTTATAGGATTACAGAGAACACTGAGTACAGGATCCACTGTGACACTAAAAGGAACTTTTGTATTTTCTATATGCTTAATGAGTTGAAAATGTACCTTATTATTAAATTATGAAGTGTATTGGACTTCAGTATGTAGACAGTAGATCCTCATTTCCCATAAACCTGAGAAAACTTTAATGCTTTTAGATTATCTCTCAGTCTAATTTGGTTGTTTCCCTAAACTCTGTAAGACATAATGATTAATTTCAGTCATTGTCTCCTGTCTGCCAGCCCTCCGGGGGTCAGAGGAACGATAAACGTCCATTTAGAGAAGCAAGCACGTCTGTAAATCTCTCCGGCACTCTGTGAAACAGGACATTTGATAATGTTTGTGCTAAAAGAGCGTGGGAGTGTTTGTTGTTTTCAAGCACTAGCCATTTGGAGACTTAAAGCTGCTTTCCAGCCTCCTGTACTGTAGGTTTTATTGTTATTTATTTTGAAATAACGTCTTTTTCTCAGCTTTAGGAAACCGGATTGTCAGCAGTAATTTTGTGTGATGGCTTGTTCTTCCTAACTTTATAAGCAATTCCATTTCAGACACTTTTTTTCATAACTGCTGTAGTTTATCCCCATGATGCACCAAACAGAAAGCCGAAGACTATCAGCAATGTTTCATTTGTTGTTGTTTTTTTGTTTTTTTTAGCACTCCCAAAACTTGTATGAATCTGCCATGTGGTGTATGTGTATGTGTATGTGTGTATATATACATATACATATACACATACATACATACATACACACATATATATGTATCTATCGATGGATAGATAGATAGATTTCTATTTCATAGGATTTAAAAAATAATTGTGCGTATTTGATTTTATACCATGGTATACCACCACAGTACTTTTCTATAAGGCTACTCTCTCTTAATCTCTCTCGTTCAAAGCACAAACCGCAATCGCCCCGTCGAGACCAAGCTCATAGACCAGTGGTTACAAAACCAATTACCAGCAAATACTGTTCCCATGAGCCACTACAATAAACTCAGGAGAAGAACAGAACATAAACCAGCTGGAGAAGAAGAGAGGTTTGAATCCATCCATATAAACCAGAGACAATCGCACAGGAGATCAATAAATCTCAGATCAAGTGTGGCATAAATGAATTTTGAAAGTTGCTCTGTGCTGCAATTGTTATAAGACTCACTTTATTCAATAGCGAGGGCAGTGCAGCCATAAACCGAAACAGATCCTCTATATTGGATTTGCATCAACTAACCACAGCAGACATGCTGTAAACATCATCACCAAATGCAGAACGACCCGCTGACGCTATGTGTTTTGGTTAATATTGTTCTTTATTGCATTTATGTTTGTAGAATTTGATATTGTGTTGGCAGAGTTTTCTGATGTACAGAAAATAATGAGTATGCTTGAGGAGAGAAAGAGAGATGGAGACAGTGAGACAGAAAAGCAGGGGTTGAGGCGCGGGGTGAGTTGTATTCAGCTGTCACTCAGGCGGGTTTTATGGGTCTAGTACATACTATCAGTGTCTGGATGACAGTCACACCCTATCAATCTCTTCAAGACACTCTCTCTCTTTCTCTTGCTGGCTGTATATGTCGTGTGTGTGTGTGTGTGTGTGTGTGTGTGTGTTTGTTTACGGTCAAGGCGAAGTGCAAAAGCATCATGTTCAGACTGATGGAGCATGTGCAACCGTTTTGTAAAGTAACGCCTTTTTTATGGCCAATGAGTTCCTGATTGATATCTAATACAATTTCCGTTGAAAGTTGAAAATACTGATTTCTCTGATTTTTATTTTGATGAATGAATATTGATTCTTATTGATCTTTTAGTCTATGCTGTTTAATTTGATGCTTCACTACACTAAACATTATTTGTAGTGCACGTAGCATCCAAAAATCACAATAAGCTTTGCGCCTTCTTACTTTTGATACAAAACAAAGTCAAAGCTTTGAAGTTCTATCCATTTTATTATGAAATTATCATAATACTATTTTGGTGCTCTTTAATGTGGCATGACAGATCGCTATAGTCGCCTCAGTTTATGTGGCATGCAAATTGTTTCATTTCTTCCTCTTTACTACTAGTTATTGCACAAAATGAGCATGAACCAACATCAGAAGAGAGAGAAGGACTCAAAGGCCGTGGTTCAGAGCAGGGTGACACTTTGCTTGAGTCACCATTTTAAAAGCATCAGATGGAAGTCTGGATGATGTGTAGAAGCAAACTGAGAATGCTGGACAAGATATTGTATTAATAGCCTATGTGCATATAAGCTTTGTGTCGTTTAGCAGGTGCGAGTGTGTATGTGTGTGTAGTAGCTTGTGTGACATCCGTATGGTCGCCTCAGTCTATTCACCTGTGAAAACAGGCTGTGTGTGATGTTACAACAGCTGAGCGTAGAGTTGTACCACTTTGACGAAGCAAAGGAGAACAGGAGGAAAAGAGGGAGAGAGAGAAAGAGAGAGAGAGAGAGAGAGGAATGCAATGGGCAGTGGGTTCATTTAGAGGCTGTGCATGTTCACTCAGGTGTGTCTTCCTTAAAGACGGAGAGGCCAGAAACACACTGTAGCCAATCAGAGCGCTTGAACTGAGAAATGGGCTTTCATTGCAAAGGGCATATTCTCACGAAGCTATTAAACAACTCCAATCACCCTCTCGTCTGACTCTTTCATCATACTGTGTGTGTGTGTGTGTGTGTGTGTGCTTCATTTCTGAAAGTGGCAGATCAATTCACTAGCTAAGTACGCACAGCAGGGAAGATGGTTGTTTGGAATGATTTTTTTCACTTGGTTTCTCTCTCTCTCTCTTTCTCTTTTGCAGCTCCGTCCATTGTTCCCATAATGCATCAGGTCAGTTCAACGATGAAAAGCATCACGTTGTCATGGCCACAGCCTGAACAGCCCAATGGAATTATTCTCGATTATGAACTGCTCTACTATGAGAAGGTAAGATGTGTGTTTGCTGCATTGGAGGAAAACTACTTACTGCTCTTTTGTCTGGATTCTTCCTCAAGGTTTATTGAATGTTCTTCACATGTTGACTTTCATTTGAACACTTTTAATGCAGGATGCAACTGGGTCAAATGGAAGAAAGTGCTATTCAAAGGTCCGCTGCATTGTAGAATTGATTCATTTCAGTGAACTAGTTGAAGGTTGTGTCATTTGTTCATCCAAGAATTATGAATTTGGCAGATGCTTTTATCCAAAGGCATGTTCTGCTGATCTGCAGGAACCAAAAAATACTCCTCAAATCAGAGATATATGATTAGTTAATAATGTTGTTCAAGCCAGTAACTCTAAATTATGATTGGTTGCTAGTATGTTATTCCATAACCAATAGGGATTTTACTAAATATTCAATATTAGAGATGTATCCTCTTCAATGTGGTGGTTACCACAATGAGCAAGGACAGGGCCAAAAAAAGTGTCTCTTATGCTCACCAAGGCTGCATTTATTTGAACAAAAAAACAGTAAAAACAGCAATATTATTACAATGTAAACTAATTATATTATACATTTGATTATATTTTAAAATGTAATTCACTATGTGAATCACTATGGTTCAGTTGATTTAAAAAAAACAGCCCAAACGAAAAATGACTCTTAGAAATTATTTTTATTATTATTTTTTAAACCAGCCCAAAAGAAAAATGATATTGCATTGCCATTTGTACATAAATTTTTAAAACAATTAATATATATTAAATTTATATATATATATTTATATATATATATACTGTATATAACTTTTATATATATATATTTTTTTATATATTTGCAATGCTGATTACAGTTTAAACGCATCATCACAGTCTTGTGAAAAGGGTCTGTTGTGTTCATGTTGAACTGCAAAACCCTTTTGTTGCTATTGAGATGGGATATGGGTTTGGGACAGGTCTGGTTATGTTTTTTTTTTTGTTGTTGTTTTTTTATCTGAAATGTCATAAAAGTAAAATGTATTGTGGACGTTTTATTAGTGCAATGAACTCACAGACCCCTTTGTGATGTCATGATGAGGAAGTGAGGTACAATGGGTTGCTAGGCGACATCATTGGCAGGGAGGGGGTGGGGTTCAGTTGTTTCGCTTGCCGGTTCCTACAGAGAGATGCCACACCAATTACACCTAATGATTCCAGAGCCTCCCATAACGCCACACACACACACACTCCACAGCAGTCACCCCTTTTAGAGACATCACGGCAGAGCACACACAAAATTACGCACATATACACGCTCTCGCCAGCAGTTATGCCTATATTCCCCGTCTGATGTTCCTTTGAAATATTGCTGTCAAATCTATATATCTCCACCTGGCTGGCTGGCATCATGTACTCGGCCAAGGTTTGATAAAAACACTTTCACACATTATATTTTCCAGCCCTCATACATTTCCAGAGAGATTGGTATATTCAAAGCTGTCTGTACATTATGAAGGGCTATAGGAATATTCTACACATCGCTGTCATACAAACACATTCAAATTACAGCCTTTCTGATGTTTTTATTAAGTACACTGGCTATTCAAGATCAGCTTTTCTGTGGTGCATTAGCGAAGTCGCAATAAGAAGTCAGGTTTAGAGTGAAGTAATCTGTTATTAATTATTAATATATAGATTTTTTTTTTAGATTGTAATGGATGGTTTTACTAATTAATTAGACTGAACAGCCATACAGTACACATTTTATTTTATTTTATTTTATTTTATTTTATTTTACCTCAAATACTCCAATTCTCAATGTCACATGATCCTTCAGAAATCATTCTAATATGCTGAGTCGGTGCTCTATTCTTTATTATGCTTTTTTATTTGAAATATAAATCTTACATTATAAATGTTTTACTGTTACTTTTGATCAGTTAAATGTGTCTTTGCTGAGTAAAAGTATACAAAAGTAAAAAATCGCACTGACCACAAACTTTTGAACAGTACTATATACATGTGTGTATATATTATTTATTTTTATTAATATGAACTCTTCTAGAAAATAATGGCTTAATGAAAGTGCATTACAATCATTGTGATATTCACAGTCTTGCTTAATTTGACATCACCAGCAAAATCATTGCAAATATACAATGAATAAATACGCAATACATTGCACAACCTCCATTATCAGCCAAATCAAAGAAAGCACACTCATTTTTAACAAAACCCTTATTTCGATTATTTTTTTCTAGTTGAAATTAAGCATTGTTAATTGAAAGCATATTTTGCAAATTGTTCCACCCAGCACTGATTAGTAGAAACCGAAATTTGTGAACACTTGCACTGACTTTCTGTTTCGTGTAATGACTGAAGTCTGCGAACACTGAACTGCATATTTCTCTGGAGGACAAATCTTTGACTATTGTCTTTTCTGCAATGATGTTTGGTGAGATAAATGAGCTGCGTTATGAAAATTGGTTTAATCAAAAGCTCGGGGATAATAATATCTATATCCGGGATAATTCTCTCCTCTCGACAATAGTTTGCTCAAATGCAAATAGCACAAGTGCAGCACTTATTTCCTTATAAATATGCATGTCGTGTAATCATATGCTGATTTATAAAACAGGCGAGAAGGAGAAAGGTACTTCAGAATCAGACACCGTATACAGAAAATATCATTAATGCGGCTTTCTTTTGGGCATGAAAACATGCGCGATGTGGGAAACAATGCTTGTTTGCAGTGCTTCAACCTCATCTGCTTTTTGACAGCTTATAATTACAATTTTGTTTGTGTTTTACAAATATATTTGAAATATTGCTTTTATAACAGGTTTTTAAAAGGTTGTTTACATGGTTTTGATTAGGAGAGGGTGTAAAGAAGCAGCGTGATGGTGGAAAAGTGGCTGTCACAGAGTTTGCAATGTTTATGGGCTTGTATTGGATTGCTTGATAACAGGCCACGCCCACTATGCAATGCAATGAACCAATCAGAGACCAGTTATACTTGAAAAACCAAATATATCTGTAATCTTGGTATACTATGCATATATAGTTTCCAAAATGTCAAGTATGTATGGTTTTTGAAGTATATATATATACTGTATATATATATACAGTCAAACCAAAAATTATTCAGACTCCAGATATAATTTTTTATATTTTTTTACTAGCGGGTGCAGGACACTATAGTTCATTTATGTAAGTGAGGGTAGCAAAATAAGGTAAACTGTGACATATTATACCCAAAAATGTTTCATACAGTGGACTACCAGTAAAATTGACAAAAAATTTGGGACCAAAAATGATTCAGACACTTTGACCTGACCATGTTTTGCGTGTTTTTTTCTTTAATTGCTTATGCAACCTTTTTACACCAGAGACTGAACAATATTAAGCATTGCTTGGTAATTGGTTGACCTAAATTGGTGTTATCTAATTGTATACTTAAATTGAACAGCTGACAGTCTAATTAATTACATACCTTCCTATCAAAGTTATCTGACATTATCAAGATGAATTTGTTCTGAAACCATTTAACTCTGAGTTCTTTTCATAATTGATTACCAATTTCTAAACTATTGTGAATAAACTGTGATAATGTGAGAAATGTTGAAGGTGTCTGAATAAATTTTGGCTTGGCTGTATCAGTGTTTCTCAACTGGTTTATCACAACCAAAAAATTGACCACAGATCTTTTTTTATGGGGTCACAGATGGGAGGGAAAAAAAAAACAAAATAAACAATAATACTACTAATAATAATATTTCAACAGTAGAAAATGCTTCCCATATATTTTATTTTATGAATAATTTTATCATTTATCGTTATCAAAATATATGGAAAATAAATTTGACATCAATTGGCAACCCAACACAATATTTAACCTATTTAATGTTTAATGTAGTCTGGCTGTTTTTTTATTTGTATTTTTTATGAATGGTTCCTATTGCTGTTTTGAATATAAATATGTATTTGATTTGATTCTTATTCTTTATTTAACAAAATTTCAAATATATGTGTTTTTGTCAGTATGACTGGTCTCTGATTGGTTCACTGGGATGCAGAATGGGTGTGGCCTATTATCTAGTAATCCAATACAAGCTCATATACCAGTTTGAGGAATCATATTTGCAAATTGTGTTTGGTGAAATTCATGGTACAGAAATGAAAACTATAATGCTACATGTAAAAAAAAGGACAAGAAATATGGTCATCTGTCAGATTATAAATAATGAAAAAGAGCACCTGGTGAAGGAGTCATACGTGTGAATACATTACACTAGCTCGAGTCGATCTCCTTGCACTGCATCCGTCAAGATGAGATCAGCGCCATTCCGCCCGAGGGTCTTTTTACGGTTCGCTTGACAGCAGGACTGGCAGATGCTTATTCTGTAAGCCACCGTGACAACCTGAGTCCATTTTTCAGGCATGAGATCAAATTCGGTGGCTAAATCAGCATAAATATAAAAATGCGGCGCTGCAGGAGAGAACTGTGGGTAAGATTTAAAGTTTCAGTCCTGATTGAAGCCGTCCTGCCACGCGATCGAGTTCCACAGCTGTATGTGATTATGTTGTACCACGTCAGAAAGGCGCTCTGACTCACGTTTTAGCAGCCGCAAAGCCAATATAAATGTGCGTGACTTAGTTTAGACTTGGCAAATGAGATCCGTGTAACGTTATACATGCACAGGGACTCTGGAGTAGCGAAACGGGGGAGTTTTATCTGTAGATTGTCTTTGGTTATGTAGATTCGGCAAACACACGTTCTCTGTACTTGTAAATGTTGAGTAAAGCAGGCATTTGATTGCTTTTCTTGTCTAAATGTTCAGCAAGCGTACAGGTTGCTACAGTCCTGTTCATTAGCTTCTTATAACTAGGCTGGTTATCAGTTTATATCTAAACCAGTGGTGGATCAGAGCCCAAAAATTAACTGCTGATGGGGTCATGGACAGGAAAAAGAAAACCTAATAAATATATACATTATTTATTAAATTTAAAAATATTTGTATTTTTTG